CTGTGCTCCAGCAGGGACACATGCCATCCACCAGGATGGACACACACCTGCTCCAGCAGGGACACATGCCATCCACCAGGATGGACACACACCTGCTCCAGCAAGGACACATGCCATCCACCACGATGGACACTCACTGTGCTCCAGCAGGGACACATGCCATCCACCAGGATGGACACTCACTGTGCTCCAGCAGGGACACAGCCTGAGCAGCAGGTGTGGGTGCAGCTCCCGCAGGGGCAACGCTGAAGGGCAGTCAAAATTTCAGAAGCTTTCCCCACCTTTTCCTTAAGGCTTGTGTGTTTCTGTACAGAACCTCGTGTGAAACTAATAAGGTGGTGAGCCCTGTGCTTTGTGCTGCTGATCAGTGGGCTGGACAGATGTCAGCATATTGATATGGTCAGGAGGTCATGGTTTAGTGACAAAATAGATGTTAGGTTACAGTGCACACCTCCTGAGCAGAAAACAAGATGTTTTTTCACCCAAAGTGTGTAGGGCTGAGCCCCACAAATCAGCACTGGGAGCAGGAAGAACCCCTGGATTTCTGTGGCTGCCAGAGAAGGCCAAGGGGGATGTCTGTTTGCAAGGCGTATGAGGTTGGTCAGTGAGGGATGTCTGATGGGATATGCACAAGATACAGTGGGTGGGTTACAAAACTAAATGAAGATGTGGTCCTTGCTCTCTGAAACCACCCAGCTGCTTAGCGTGGGTAATAATATAAAAAGTGTGTTACAGATGGGAAGGCACCGTTAGAACAAGTGCTGTAACAGACCACCAGGTGACTAAGCAAGGACTTCTGTGTCTTTGGGTTTCCATGGTCTTGTTTGAAAAGTAGTTTAGCTTCTGTTTGGAAGCACAACTAGGAGAAAGCAAGGCTCTGGTCTTGCAAGGACTTGAGTAGCTTACTTTGCTGGGAGAGTCAGCAAGATTATTCGTTTGATTAAATCTTTAATAGAAAAGGTCTTCTTGAACTGTACTAAAACTGCTGTCCATCTTCCCAGGCTAAACATGCTGGAAAAAAATTGTTTTTCCTCTGTTTTTTCAATTGATGTCTTCATGAATGTAACCTAGTAGTGAGAGTCTACTAGTACAGCTTTTAAGTGGATGTGTTCCTTTTAAAAAGAATTTTTTTGAAACCAATAATTCAAGTAACCAACAGAATTTTATAAAGCAGTGAGGTGTATGTGGTTATATAGTACAAAGTCCTGTGAAATCAGCTTTGTCTGCTTTTTTTCCCCGGCTTTTTAACCTTCAGGGTTTTTTTTTCTTGTTATTTTAAAAAGTGTAGTTTCTCCTCGTGTTTCTGCAACAGACTTGATGAGGAAAGAGATCTTTTATTGCCTCCCGAAAGAGAAGTGATGATTCCTGGAGCCTTTTCTTGGGGGGAATAAGTCCATCAGCAGGGCTGATACTGTGACTCGCAGTTTCGAAGCTAAGTTAAGTTTATCAGCAAAGGAAAACACCAAAGAAGGAGATGGCAGTGGAGAGGTACCTTGGCAAATGTTGGTTGAAAAGCCTCACATCCAGTTCATTGCAGCACCATGAGTCTCTCAGCTTCCCAGTTAACAACAGTGAAATTTCACAAAAGCTGAAGGCTGAGGAAGAGCCTCTGCCATCCATTTTCTGTTGTGCTGTTGCCAGTATTCACACTGGCCTAGTTTTAAACTTCCTGAGCAATAGGGCTTCCCTGGAGAGGTTTCTATAATAGCAGCATTTGCTTCCTCAGAGCTAGAGTTGTCTCCAGGGCACAGTTCAGGTAGATGCTCGTGTGCTGAGAAGAACTGTTGGTAGTAAGAGAATATTTTCCCATCTCCCCACCTGGAATGCTCACTAGAGCCTCACAAGAGGTTCTGCTGCATGTGATGTTTTCCCATTCTAAGGGGGAAAACTAGAAATTTCGCTCACATTCACTAACACTTCCCTCTGGCCTGCTCTGCAAGTGGAGTGGCCACAGAAAGTAAATCTGCTCCTGGTACCTCGGTTAGCTTAATTAAAGCTTCTTGAGGAACTTTTCTGCTTGCACTGTGCAAAGAGCTAAGGTAGGATGGACCAGGTTTCCACATCTGATTTACTTTTGCTTCAGTGAATTCAAATCAATGAAATACTTTGTAATACCAGAATTAGGGGTCCAAAGTAAAGGTGAAGATTGCTTTTGTGTTCCATGTGTAAATTGTGTTTTGAGGGGCTTTTGTCCTTCAAACAACTTCAAAGCAATTTTGGGCTTAAATGAAATGAATTTGGTTGTTCTGCCCTCTGAAATGTGGAGTAACAGAACCCTAGACAGACATTTCAATAAAGCCAATTCAAAACTAACCACAATGCTTACGTCTACTTAAAGCTGTTTATTTTTAAACTTCTCGCTGTTTTCTAAGGGGATGACATTTATGTGTGGCATCAGGGCCACAGTGAGAAGAGCACTGGTCTGCTGCTGAATCAACAGGCAGAAAGCATCGGGAGCCTTGAGGAGGATGGTTTCTGAAGCTCATCTCATAAACAGCCACATGCTCAGGCAATGAATGATGTTTATTCCTTTCCAAAGAGCAGTTTATTCTTTGCATGACACGCTACATAGAGATACGAAGTGAATGTACTTTGCTTTAAGATTCCAGAGGCACTCGAGCTTGGTTAGCTTTCTGTTTTTCAGAGGAACTGAGCCTCCCTAGAAACTGTTAGGGAGTGATCCCGAGGGAAGGAAGATGACGTTGGTCACACACACCCCCATGCACTTGGGCCATGGAGCAAAGTGATGGTGACTTCAAAAGACAAGAGTCATTGACTGAAGGAGTCGGGAAGAACCAAATGTTGTTGCAACACAGGTGTGAGTAACATGCCTGGAAGATAGCAAAGGTGAAACTGGAAGACTGATGCATGGAGTGTGTACAAGGGATTGGGAGAGGCAGTGTGACGGCAGAGAAGTCTCTCAAAGGAAGAGGTATCATCTGGCCAAAAATATGGGGGTTTAACAGTTACAAGAGGCCAGGGACGTTGGTTAGAGAACTGGTTTATGGCCTGATCAAGGCTGTCTTACCTGTGTAGCAGTGAGGCAGGAATGACACTCAGAACTGCTACAGAGAAAATGACACCTATAAGAATGACAACTCTTAGATTATATCTTATTAGGTGCTTGTATATAATTTTGCTGCAAGGAAACCCTTCTCTTCAAAGCAATATTTTTATCTTTCCTTACTGTTAGGTTGCAGAGTAATTGAGTGAAATTCTACTCCTCCTGAGTTAAAGGACTGTCTTTGTCAATAGCTTTTTGCAGGTCTCTCCAGGCTTGGAAGGGGAGGGAAACCTTTCTGTGTTCTCATAAAAGCCATTAAGGAAAAAATGTGATTATAAAGGTTCTTTACTGGAGCCTCCTCAGTGTTTGTGCATAGGCAGGCTCCAGTTTTACAAGAGAAGTGAAGATTTATTCCTATTTAAGGTGAGAATTTTTTCTTGTGCTGGTAGTGATTGCTAGGGAAGGCTGTGAGGCCACAATACGGATTCATCAAGGCTTCTCCAGCTTGTGCTGCAGGTCCATAGCCTTCACCTTCAGGCTCCACAGCCCTGTAGACTCCTCTTCATCTCTTCTTCCTTTGACCTCATATTTCCTTGGAGAAATGAAGTTTGCAACAGGTCTCAGTGTCTGTAATGAAGCTTTGCCTATTTGAACCATCTGAAAACAAGTTTAAAGCCTTTAAACACCAATTATTTCCTTCTTTGTTTATTCCCTGAACTCCCTTTTAGGTTTCAACTGACAAATCTCATTGTAATTAATTTGAGCACGATTGTGAGTATACTTTCCAAGGGAACAGAAAACAGATGTGATAAATGCCTGAACATGAGATTTAACCTAGCATCTGTTGTTTTAAAGAAGAGTTACAAAACAAACTGTGTTTTGTTTGTGTTTAGTTGGTAGGTGATACACCTGATTTTCCATCATACTCTTTTCAGGTTACATTGAAAACATCTGACAGAAATGTGCACTGAGATAAACTCATTTGACCTGTCCAGTTTGCAGTGGTTATGATAAATTATTACTATTTTTGCAATAGTCAGCATATAGGTGATGTTTCAGATAAGATTAATCCATTACTTACAATAGAAATCAAACTCTTTTTACAAGATAAGAAAGTAAAAAGGATCCATCAGGAGCTTGTATGATGTATTTGTATGATGTTTAACTGTGGAATTAATGGGCTAATTCATGTGTTAAGCATCAGCATATCCTTAAATCCCTTGCTGGATTTAGGCATAAATAAATTAGGATTAAAATATAATTACTTGGCAAATATTTCTGAAGATGGAGGCTAGTTTAGCCTCTCCCCATGGTGAAAAGAAAGCACATGAGATTTATGTTGCAGAGACTCTCTATTTCCTCTACTGGGAGTTTTAAAAGTTGAATAACAAAGTACATGAATATTCCAGTTTTCTTGGGCTGGAAATTCCAAGTAGCTTTCTGTAGAAAAGGTGTGGCATACATAGACCTCACAGTGGAATGCTGACAAATGGAGGTGATGCTTCCTTACTCTGATACTGAGGAAAAATCAAGTCCAGCCTGTGAATACCAAGAAAAAGGGTGACAACAGATTAGATTTTT